ACACAAAGGCGAGCAGCAAATTCCGACCGAATCATCTTAACTACTTGGTATTCCTATATAATCTAGCCGTCCCACCATACGCATTCCGCAGGAATTGATCAACACCGGTAGCTTTACCTCTATCCTTTATCGTTATACCCTGCCATGAAAAGAAATCAGCAGTGAATAAAAAAAGTGTTTACAGCATCAGAAGATTCTAGAGAGAACGTACATGACTACTATCCAAGGAAATCAATGGAGACTAAAGTCCTCAAGCAATAGTCAAGCATCCTTGCATGCAAATTCGAAAACCTTTGTGCATAACAAATGTGAGAGAGATAACGAATCGAGTAAAAGAAGTGCTGAATCTATCCGCAGAATATATAACGTCTGCTCATATAAACAAAATAAAATAGACTTCCAGGTGACCGCAGAGGAATGCGAATAAGGGCAAAAGCTGGTCGTCACTACTGGACAGATTTCAAAAGGTACCAATCTACATAGACAGATTGCCTAAAGCCGTTATTACACAGAATACCAACGAGTTAAGGCATTTGCAACAATATGAGCCACAAGTGACTCTGACATTTCTCAGAAGTACCTTGGCCTCTCAACTTTGCCAAACATATTCTAGCTCGTTGTGAGCTTTATTAACTAAAATAGAGACTTTGTAATTTACATATCACTTCCAAGAAGAAATAATCTTGCCTATTCGTACGAAAAATCGCTTCCGCTTCGCATTTCATCGTTGAATCTCGTACTTCGAACAATGAAGTGATTTCGAAACAAGACAATAAATACTTCGAATCTCGACTTCGTCCAGGAATACGGTGGTGTCTCCGAACAGATGGTTCCTGTTCGCGGTTGTCCTTGCCACGTTGAAAGCATTAAAGCTATAGATTATTTTAGGGTTTTTTTTTAAAGAACTGGGTCAGAAACCACTCCAGAAATCAAAGTTGGACATTGGCGAAACTACCTTTAAGACGGTAAGACAAGGTCACTTCGAATAATTCCTCGTACCCTTCCTTCAAGCACTCTATTCGCAGAATTTCCTACGATTACCGAAAATCTCACACAGTAGCAAATGGGCGGCAATGTTTTCCGAAAAGCTGCACGGAGATTTACTACAGATATGCCTGGTATTCCTGAAATATATATGCTGCTTTAAAATACTTCGTATGGTCAGATGAGTAGGAGCATAACATCACCCCAGAATCAATGACCAAAGAATTTGTTTCTTTAGCATCGAAACTCGTAAAGCAATATGACCTACCTTTTAGACAACGAGATGAGGTGATTTTTATGGATTCTGCTCTAAACAAAGGATACATAAGATCTCAATCAATATACAATACCAAATCTTACTGAAATGGTGATAGCCATTTTATAGACAAATTCTTGTCTGAGGGAAAGACAAAGCATGGGCCTCGGCTAGTGCGATGGATAGCACGTGAACCACCGTAATGGTAATCCCGGGTTCGAAGCTACCCGGTGGTCTGAGTATGAGTTCACATTTGTCTGGATTTTTTAAAGGATACTTTACATGCCTTACCAGCTGACTGTACCTGCTTTCCTAGCTTTTCAACAAGGTACGTAGTTTATGGATGACTCCAGATACATAACCTTTTCCAAACTGAGAATTGAAAAAGATAATTGATACCACAGTGAAAATTTATTCAAACCAACCTCAGAATGAAAAAGGTCAAAGACTAGAAATATGAAGAAAAACAAGTGAAATCTGCAACAAACTGTCACAAGGACTAAAAGACAAACAAACAAGTCGGAATATTCCAAAAATAAAGCAATCTATGCACGAAAACGAAAAAAATTTGGCAAAACAAGTGATGTGATGTGATACCACATGGAATTATGGAAACTCGACATCGATGATGTTTCACCACATATCAGTGAGCTCCATAGATTAAGTGAAAAAAGAATAAAAAAAAGAAAAACGTGTATGCCGTTCAACCACCGGAAAATCAGAACAATTAACTCGTGGCTTTACGAAAAACAATCCACATTTTCACAAAATGAGCAGGTCGAAACTCATGTATTTATGAAACGGGAGGACATTCAGGACATGACGAAGCTGAGATGGGGAAACCATCAATTCCCGGAATTCGCCTCCCTTTGGAAATTCCTTTGCTGCATTTCCCACATTTTCTCAAGCTTTTTTCGCTGCTTCTTCGAAATCTTAAGGAAAAAACTTCAAAAAGATTTCAACACTTTATGATGCTATTGCACTGTGGAATGAGTACCACTTGCAATAATCAGTTTCAACTCTTCGAAAATAGTAAACCACAAAGTGCTTCCACACACAGGAATATGAAGGGATCACTCTACAACAAGCATAGGGACAAGGCGATACGAACAAAACTTGATGTCTCAATTTGGCCACGAACCCGCGACTAACTCCTTACGGGGGCTCACGTGCTATCTACCACACCAATAGAGACCCTTGCTTCGCCTTTTCCTCATCTACGTCTTTACACTGCTGGTGATGTCAGCAATCACCGGTCATCGAGCATGATCTGCGGAGCCCAAATCGGCACTGACATGTTACATTGCTATGGAAGAAGAACAGACAGGAAGTAAAGTTTGAAATATCGTGATTTCGACTGCAGGTTTAGCATAATTGGGTCCAATATCGACTAGTGCTTGCCAGATCATATGCGTTGCCAGGTGGTTGCTGGTAGCACCACTAGAGCAAAGACACGGCTCAGAGAAAGATGAATCAAGGACTTCGGTTAGTGTAGTGGGTAGCATGTGAGCCACTGTAAGGGTAATCGCAGGTTAGAAGTTCACTCGAAGTTTCGAATTTTGCTCAGATCTCAGCATCATATTGGTTGCATTTCGCATCGTACATTATGGAAAAAGGAAAGCGAAAAAATGAGAGTTAATAGCCTAGAACATGATCAAATACTACCTCTTCACCGGTAGCAGTATGAGTAGGAATTCCGTTTTCATCCCATTTGCTATATTTCGCAGCTTCGTCCCCACGGCAGAACATCTCTTGTGGAGAAATGTGCTTCAATGCTTCTTTCGCCGCTTTCTCTGCAGCTTGACGCTCCTTTTCCTGAGAGGGAAATATTTCTTCTCACTCTTTTCATTTACAAGATAAGCTCGCATTGAAGTTGCTCACTTCACGTTTAGCAGCTTGAATGGCAAGTTTTTGCTCACGTTCCTGAAGAAGAGTTTCCCGGTCACACAGTTTCACAATCGTGCAGTTCAGCTTGTCTTCCAGTTTCACTCCCAATTCGGGAAGAATGTCATCGCGCAGTCGATCACATTCCTGCGAAATTGGATCACCACAGTCAAATTCATAAATATAAACGGTCAAGTATACAAATACACCTCGAGAATGTCCACGGTTTTCTTGTCCTTAGCAATATTTCTGACCTTCTCTCGAAAGTTAGATAAGGTATTGAGATAGGGCATTAAAACGACTTCTTTGTCAACTGATAGATCCCTAAAATTTATTGGAAAATAGAGACAGGGAAAAACGATCGCTGCCTAACGTACAAAAGGAAAATGCTCAAAATGTATTTAGGTACGAACCTCGTACATAAATGGATTAAAAAAATAACCTCTCCATTGGAAATCCTAGTTCATCAGATCTGTGAATTACTCCAAATACTGCAAACATATGTGTCATGTACGATGCAATGTTACGAAGCAGAAGACAATTAGGCACCATGTTTTCTTTCTCCTGAAGTACCGACACATATACGTAAATAAAAAATATACATGTATATATATACTTGAATATTTGGATGGCCCGTCTTCACAGGTTGTGCGCGTCCCAGCACAATCCCCATTCTTCGGACTTTTGCTGGTTTAGCTACTGTGTTTCTATGGAATCTCGAGGTCAACCAGGCCAAAGACTGTCCTAAGATCCTGGCGTTGGTTTCCTCTTAATTGGGCTTCTTGATGGAAACGCAGGACTCCATCTCAGGTTGGAAGAGTCTGCTGAGGAGATGAATCTCCTCACTGTACATCGCAGCCCGACATCCAGGAACACCTTCCAGCCACGATGAGGCCGTAAACCGTTGATATATATATATATATATATATATATATGCAAATGTATATATGACATGAATAGTCGTTCATTTTACAGAGGAACTCACCTTCTCATTAATATAAGCATTTCCTATACCGATAAGCTCCCGCAGTTTTTCAATCACTGTTCTCGTATCAATTGAATCACATAAGGCCCTGTGGATCTGATTAAGCAAACATAATATAGACACAGGACAAAAACTATGTAAGAAATTTCAATGAACACACCCCCTCCTTAATTTTTGAAAATTCCTCCAATATTTCCAAATCCCTACTGTTGTACTTAAGGTATCCCTAAAAAACTGCATTTGATTATTTCACGAAGATTCCAAATAATCAACAAAATGGAAGACAGATTGTGATAAGCACCTGAGGGAAATCCGATTTGTAATGTTTTCGCAACAAATCTTTAACTAGCAGGAAGAAATCGTTCGAAACTTTTTCAAACTGTATGGCGCGCTCCATCGTAGCGTTGCTATAAATGAACGCTACACCATTCGAGAAGGCCGAGAAGGGACATCAAAAATCAACACAAAAACCCATAAATATCACCTGTAATCAAGGACGTCGGCCCAGTTATGCATTAGGAACAATAGTCGAAGTTGCCTTGCAGAATACTGTTGAAGTGCTTCACGAATTGTTATGAAGTTCTTTAACGATTTACTCATTTTCATGCCAGCAATCCGAAGGGTTCCACAATGCAGAAAGTAGTTAACCCAGTGAGGGTTGTCATAATACGCTTCGACCTGAACAATCAAACATGCAAACAACAAAGTGGTCCCAAGGTTAATAAAATACTGCAGAGAATACATAAACTTACAAAAGACTTACCTGAGCTATTTCATTGTCATGATGAGGGAATTTAAGGTCAAATCCACCAGCATGAATATCGAGCTTTGGCCCACAAACTGCAGTCGACATAACCGAACATTCAATATGCCACCCAGGTCGACCAAAAACAATAAAATCTTCTGCTAACATATTTGGTAACCCCTAACTCCTTGTATGAGATGCACCATCGTCAGTAAGGACAACTGCGTCATAAATGAATCGCTGCTTTACTACATAACTTATCAAGCGCAAAATTTAACAAAAGAATTTAAATAGTACTTACTTAATGGAAATTCTAAGATTTCGACAACATAAGTGAACATAAACGACTATGTAACTACCTTTGCCCCATGGACTACTCCAAAATGGTTCGCCTCCCTTTGACGATTTCCACAAAGCAAAATCTGATGGATTACGCTTTTGCTGAACAGAAAACTATCACAGACGTAAGCCAACCATGATAACCAAAATCACCATAAGTTTCTCAGAAGTGATGCTGAGTTCTCCTTCTCCTTCACGCATGTTCTTTTCTAATGACTCTAAGTCTCCATAAGCTTCTGGCACCAATTTTGCATAGAAATGCCTCGGATTAGTTACAAACGTCTTAGTGTCAAAATACACCTGTAAGTGCCCACAACTGGAAGAACAAATGTATATATATATATATATATATATATATATATATATATATATATATAGAGCATCTATATATATATATTGTGATGTACATATACATGTATATGTATATATAGGACAAATGTATATGGATATATATGCATACATATATATCCATATACATTTGTCCTATATATATATATTTACATCCATATACATTTCTTCTATATATATATACATATATATATATATATAGTGGTGTGCACATATATATATGTATATATAGAACATGTATATATGTATATGTATATATATATTGTGACGAACATATATATATGTATATATATGTACATGGGTATATATATATGCATATGTATATCCATACATATTTGTCCTATATATATATCTACATCCATATACATGTTCTATATATATATATATTGTGATGTATATATATATGCATATATATGTACATATAATATAGACATATGTTATATGCATGTATATGTAGCAGAAAAATCTGACCTAGAACGAAAATTTAGCAGTCTCATGAGTTACTATAACAATACATCAGGAGATGTCCTTTAAAGAAAACTTACAGAGCCATCATTTGTGGAGTATGCGTACCCATTTTCTATTATCTTCTCTATGAAGACGACGATTTCAGGAACATATTCTGATACTCTGGTGACAACATCGGCAGGAAGAACATTCAAGCAAGCCATATCAGATAGAAATTCCCTTTCGTACCTCAATAGCGAGTTTGGAAGCTAGGAAGACAAAAAAGGCGCATATATGCAAACGTCCCGGAAAGTTTAGAAAAAGACCAATACGGGAATTAATACATTTTGGCAAGATTGTCGAACACACTATGGTCGTTAATCGCATCGCCATACTTGGCATCCAGCCATTCGGAAAGGATATCTCGAGCATCGTTTAGAAGCTGCTCCTAAAACTCCCTCTGGACTTACTGATAGGATGAGGTCAACGTGATCAAAACTTTAAATTAAAAAACGACTGCAATATACCAACTTTTGCTTTATCAACGCCTTCTTTGTCATTATTTTGTAGAGTCCTTTCAAGAAATAGAGCAGAGTTATCCACTTTACCAATCTGAAAACGATAAACATGATGTGATGATGAAGATTACCTGGATAAATAAACTATATAGAACTCTATAAATTCCACAAGAAACCCAGAAAACTGTGAACGAGAGAAATGTTCAGAAACGCACCATTGTTTCGTACATTTTCTTCTTATCTGCGTCTACCTCACTTTCAAACTTCTTCTGGAACAACCGTTACTAATGAACATTAGAATACGTGAACACAACTCATGAAATAAAGACGACGAGGTCATAATTTTTTTGAAACAATTCTTCCCTCACTATCTCACAATAATCGCAAGGAACTTCACCTTAAAAAAGACTACCCACTGGAAGTTTCTACGAAGACACATCTTAGAGAGAGGTTACAAATCGCATGTTATAATGAATGAAGGAAAAGCTAGTGATGCATACATGATCATGAGGTGATCATCGTAGTATTTAAGGAACGAGGCAGATTGAAAACTTGGAAATCGGGTTTTATAGTAGAGAAAAGCATCAAGACCATCTGATCTCACAAAAAATTCAAGCAACAAGGATTCACAATGGACACTGGGGAATAATTTCCAGATAAGTAACCACGTGCTAGCGATGTCAAATCGCTAATGTGCTTCCTTAACCGTAGTACTTCCATATATCAGTTGTTATGTCCAGAAGGTACATATATATGTATATGTATTTTATATATATGTACACTTACGATGCATATACACATATATATGCAGTTTTCTCCAGAAATATAAAAATGAAAACAGTTCTTAAAGAACAAAGTATTTTGCTCCTCCTCTACCTCACACTGGGACAAAATTCCATTTGCAACGAGTGCTATCTTTTCTCTAAAAGTTATTTCTACTTATGATCAATTTTTATACTCTAAAGAGAAAGGCTTTGGCTGGTCCAGAGACATGTTCGATCTGGCGACAATGGCACCTCTGTGCTCTGAGTTATACCATCTCTATGCATGTAATTTCAAAAAGTTGAGAAGAGACTCAGCACTGAGCAAAGAGTTTCACTAAACGTAATAGCGACCTGTCAGGCAATAAGTATTACAGTGATTACTCATTCGGTAAAAAAGCAGCTGGAAATAGTCATCAACTAACCCTAAAGTTCTCAAGAGCAGCCAAAACGTCCTCAACTATCCTCTCAACCGTTGCGTTTTTCTCCGTACTATCGAGGTAGCTCATCAGTAGATGACGCTGACGAGCTCTGAATATTTGGGACAATATGGCAAGAGGGCAGAGAGTATTTCGCAAATAAAACAGCAATAACACCTCTTTATGATTTTGTCGTCGATGTCGGTGATGTTCATGATGAAGTGAACATCGTAGCCAAAATACGACATCATAACCCGCCTGAGAATGTCCATGGATAAGTACGCTCTGGCATGTCCCATGTGGGAACTGTCGTAAACTGTTGGTCCACAAATATACCACTTCACCTAAACGATTCTCGGATACAAAACTCTCACAGTTACCAGGATGTTCAATGGACATATGTTGAAATAGTGAAAGTTACCAACAAACTGACCACATTCCCATGATTTGGTACAAACAAATCCTTACTGCGAGTAAGACTATTGTAAAGGTACAACTGAGGGGTTGGTTGAGAGTTAGTGGGCACTGTCCACTTCTGTTGGGTTCGCTTGATTTGCACTAAAATGTAATCCAGTTGAAACACGCCAGACATAAAAAACATAAAGCTTAAAATATAACAAGCAAAAAAAAATAGAGCTCAAGGCGTTGATCAATCCCTTAGGGATGCACCATGCATTCGACTTCACTAAGCATCTTTTGGAGGTGACTGAATGCATATCTCGCCCTTACAATGACTCACGTTGCTCTAGCGATGTATCGATCCAGTGCTGCTATCTTTCCAGACAAGTTTGGTACCAATTTGCCTACGCCGGAGGGTTGGAGGCCTTGGTGGGCCAGGAGGGCGAGGATTCATCCCATGTGTATTTCAGGGCGCCTCCGACCACTGCACCACACGCCCCCTTACAACAAGAAGGAAGAAGAAGGAACAGGAATACTTACTTACAACTAGAAAAAACAGAAAGTTGTAAGAAATAACGAGACAAGGCGGTTGGAAAGCTGCTTCATCTATGTATCCTTAACCTAAAAGTAATTAACATGACTAACCACCAGTTGATATGTAGTCAGAAGCCATCGAAGAAGCCGACCTCTTTGCAGCTGCTGTGTTCGAACAGATTCTACCGAAGAGCAGAATAGCGAAAGGCGTATCTGAAGGCAACTAAACCACTCGATAAGAAACTCGAGAACGAGCACTCGGAAAGGGAACTTGATGAGATGAGGATGGAAGAGATCCAGGAAAATGGCATGTTGGCTTGAATATACTTGTACGGACTCGAGTTTTTTGAAACTTGTCAGCAATTTCCTGAAAATTAGTGACATTGAGAACTACAGGATATGCGAGATTCACAAAGAAGGCTCTATAACTCGTCGAAAATCTAGCGAATATTTCGAATTTATTCGAAATTCGAAAAAAATGGTCGAATTTTTGTAATTCTTCGCAAAAGCATGGCACCCACAAACGGCCATGTTACGCTTGGCGAACCATCACGTCTTTTTGAACGGAGGCTTGTTTGTTCAACTGTTTCGCTGTTTGAAATCCGAGCCTCTGGCAAGAACAGAGAGTCAAGAGAGACCTCCTGGCTGCGCAATGACATAATTCCATCCTAAGAAAATAAAAAAACCCTGTATCTGTGGTATGAAACAGCTACGGACTCTAATGCTTTTCATTCCAACTAATAAAGTGCAACTAGCACCTTCTGATATAGGGCAGACTGAAGTTGAAAAGCCCAATTAGTTTCAGTCAAAGGTTGAACAAGGCACACTAGACAATAGTGTCAATTAAGGGTCAAACAAGGTCCGTAAAACCAAACAAGTAGTTTTTGTCGAACACTTTGGCAGAGCTTCCCACATAACTCGTAATTCATACCAGCCCCTATCGATTGTAATTCAAACCATTACAATGGAGCAGAGTTTACCGATAGAGCATGAAATTGATTAGTCTTTGTGTCAGGGATGTGTTCTCTGGTCCTCGAAGATGTTATATGAACCGAAGGTGAGCACAGATTCTAGCAAAATTTGTTTGATATTACTGAGCTACATATGGAAAGTAGTGTGTAATTCTTATGAAACTTTCCAAGAAAATGACTACGAAGCAGAGGAAGGAATACATACGATGCAAGAAGAAAGTGTGGAAGAAATTAGCACGGATACCTACAACGGTGTCAGTATTCCAAGTATTGCTCCTGCCAATTGTGTTACGCGCCCACTCTAGTAAAGAAATCCCATAGCACTGGACGCGCCCAGAAAAGCAACAAACCTAAGGTTTCTCATAGCCCTGGACATATTGGAAATATAAAGAGTTAGAAGGTTCACGAATCGTGTGGATGCCGAGTCCTTTTACTCACTTATAGCGGTATTCTCAAACGCTGAGAGCAATCCATAAAAATGCACCCCTCCTCATGAACTTACTCTTGTAACTTCCATGTTCTGTAAAAACAAAGTCAGAAATATTTCTTAAACGAAACCAATCGTCTCACAACAAAAGTGCAGCACTCGACATTTGTCGTAGATAATTCGCCTTTTTTACTTCCTGTTAAGCACACACGTGGTCGTCACCTCCTTACACTTTATTCACTAAAAAGCTGACGTTTCGGGGCATTTCGGCTTCCTCGAGACCTTGAAAGGTCAAGTTAAGTGTAGTCTAACGAGCTAAACGCCCCCATAACCGTAAATGAATTGAAATCCCAGAACTGAAGTCAAGGCTTCGTGACTTCTTTATTGGAGTTATGGAGGTGTTTGACTGGCTAGGTCGACTGGATTGTATGGTGGAAATTAGGAGAGTTATCCTGACCAACTTGACCTCTACAGGCTCTGAGGAAGACGGAATCCGACGAAACGTCAACTTCTCGGTGAACAAGCGCTAAAGTAACAAACTCACGTGTGCTCGTCGAGGAAACAGGGAACTATTGATCAATACCGAGGTTAGAGGAAAGTGGTTCTCGGGAATTACTGTACGATATATTATCATAGTTTAACTCATTACCTAACTATAACATGGTCCCAGAAGTGCAAGCGCTACATTACTTTGTCTTTAAGATTTTCCCATCGATATTTTTTGCTTAAATTATCAACAATTTCGATGAAACCATGTAGCAGCCGCAGAGACATGGTGCGAGTATGATCAGTCATGCAACTTCCTACGTAAATTCATGAGTCCCGGATCTTATGTCGGCAGGGGTTGAATTCAATACTTTCAGGATAATGGAATCCCAGTGACAGCAGTAAGGAACACGAGCTGCATTGGTGGATACACCGTCCGATCACACGAGTTTCTGGAGCTGCGAGCACCCGCTTCTAAGAGGAAGGAATATATACGATGCACTCTACAAACAAATTAGGCTTCATCTAGTGAAGGTGATAGATTCTGGAGAGCAATGCTGACTAGCAAGTATGTGCAGCACGATCCCCACATACATGATAGTCTACACTATACCCGTCCTAAGCCGGAAACCCACAACGGGTTTGTGATGTTGCCGAATGGATTTACGGAGAACTTTCTGGATGATTTTACAGGACGGAAGACTTGTACGAAATGAAACGAAGAGGGCGTGTGTTTGAGACGAGGGCGCTTTGAACAACGCACTTGCAAATGCTCATTGTACCACCAACGTTTGTTCCCGAGACGTTTTACACTAAGTCAGCCCTCAGCAAGCTGCACTGCAACGGAAGGCTCCAACAATCAGCATATAAAGTCAAGCGCAATGTTGAACTCGAGGTGAGCCGTTTTGGTTTGAGAATGAGTTTCGCTCGCATGAACGAACTTCGCATTCAGATGATTAAACTTCATCTGTGTTGTATATTTATATGTATATCCATACGTATATATATATATGTATATATATATACATATATATATATATGAACAACTGCATGAGATTCACTAGATTCTAATACAAGATTTAAGAGACTGCATGGAAATAAACGAGCGAGGTGTAAAAAGACTACAAGTGTTCAGGGAAAAAGCGATCATTATATCTCTCTATATCTCGAAATATTACTACGCTTTGTGCTAGCTGATAATACACCGACCTCTGCACGATGTGCGCAATGATGTATGTCCGGAAGAAATACAAGTTGTTACCACCGGACATTGTCATTATATATCCACCATCAGCATCGTGTATAAAAGGGCATCACTGAGTGAGGATGCCTCATTCGAGAAGATGGCTCGCTGAGGAAGATCTGGCTCGACAGGAAGGCGAAGACGCGACGTCGAGGCGAACAACAAGCATGGACCATCGACTCGGATCACCGGCTCTGAGGAAGACGAAGACATCGAAACGTTAGCCGAAAATAAATATATTTATCAACCTCGTGCAAGCTTATCAAGAAAGAATACAGATCATTATATCTCTCATCAACAGTGAGTGGATGAGTCACTGCAGAAACACAACTTGGAAAAACAGATGCTAAAGCCATTACTAGTCAGTAGGAAGAAGTTTTATCTGATGAAGCTGTTCAGACGCGCATTGCATTTAAGTGAGATTTTACACACACTGCATGGAGAAGATGAATCAGATAAACGGTATGCGAGAGACTTAGCTCGTGCACTCATACGCAGGATAATGAGGAGACAGAACAGGTAAACCATAGATATGGGTAGAGAACATCTTTTTGAAATACAGGGTGTTTTCTGTATTCCCACCCAGTTGTGCATAAAGGATGAAGCTCTCGACGTTGATCTATCCCTGAGGGATATGTCATGCATTCGACATTATTAAGCATCGTTGGAGGTGACTGAATGCATATCTGACCTCTATAATGACACGCGGTGGTCCACTGGTGTGTCGAGCCGGTGCTGCTATACTCCCAGACAAGTCCGGTACCAACTTGCCGATCACGGAGAGATGAAGGGCTATTTGAGCCTAGGCTGCCGGGATCGATCCCATGTGTATTGCTTGGCCCGTCCTACCATTGCGCTACATGGATCCCGAAGCGTCAACCAAATAAATATTTTGTGACAACCTCGTGTAAGTTAGACAATCCGCAATCCGAAGAAATTTGTTCAAGAGAGTGTTTGTGAACTTTTTGACGAGATGGTATCGTCATGGTACTCTGTCTACGTCAAAAACAACGTCATTGCGTAATACTGAAATATTGATTGTTAAGTTATTATAGGCTTATGAAAGATTTTTGTGTAATGCTCAAAGATCTCATGGCCTGGCAAGGTCAACTGGTCGATGAAAGTAGGTAAAGCGGTCTCCTGCACTCTAGCAATATTTCACTGAGTCTCGTCACCTTTGAATATGTTTTGACACGCTGAATTCCTTTCGAAACCCTGCTGTATTCTCACGTAGATATCTTTTGTTCAGTGATGTAATAGGCCTCTCGAGGATAACCCAAGTGAATAGGATCATCCTTCCGATCTGTTAGATTTCTCAGTGTAACTTATTTAAAGGGATCTACTGTGATTCTTCTTGGAGTCATTATAGTTGTGTGTGTGTGTGTGTGTGTGTGCGTGTGTGTGTGTGTGTGTGTGTGTGTGTGTGTGTGTGTGTGTGTGTGTTGCTTAGCCTTCTTCTGCAGCTGAGGAAAGACCGTGTTTCCGTTAGAAACACATAACATTTACGTTTATCGCCGTGGCACACACGAGCGAGCAGTGTGTCCTATGTGTTCCGGTGTATGGACAACTCGTCCGACTGGTGAGACATGCTTGTATCCAGTTAGGCAACAATAGCCACAGTACTAATGTGAACATCGTAAGAAAGCCAAATCTGGTTTCATTATCTGTTTATCATTTCTGGAAAACAAACCCCTAAGGTCGATGGCAGGTTTTGTCGAAGACAAGCCTAATTCTATGCTCTTTGTCAAATGTTCCACGCTATTGGATAGAACGAGCAAAGAGAAAAAGTGAAATTAGTCGGTGTCTTTTTCGGAAGGTAATCGTTTTGCGAACGTCATGAAAATAGAATCAAATTAAACACGGTTGTCTAACACTTTCCGAGTGAATGGCTTGATTTAAGAACTGCCAACAGTGATTCCATTGGAAAGGGCCACATTTTTCTTCTTCACCCTGTAGGGGTATCTACACAGAAATGCAGAATACTAAACAGGTTTCATTCAGAACATACGGAA